GCACTCCTCATGTCCTTGCCAATGCTGCTGTGAATTGGACCAGCGCTGCCTTGAACTTGCGGAACATTGATGCCACGCCACTGGAAGCCATCCGAGGTGTTGCGGGCGAAGTCTTCACAGGCAGTGTGGCCGTGGCTGGCTTGGCCTCGGTGGCCAGGGCCTCGCACACTGCCCAGGGGCTCGAAGGTTTGGTTCGCCTGGGAAATCAATTCTCAGTTTGGGGAATCTCCTCACAGATTCTGATGCCCGCCATTTCGGCTGTGATTTGCTTGCTACCCTTGCCTCTGGACGAGATATTGCCATTGGCATCACTCCGGGCTCCTCAAATGTTGAGGTGACTGTACCTCGAGCGAGCAATGCCATGCTGCAAGAAGTCTCGGGTTCGGAGAAAGCCTTTCAAGCTGCCACATTCTTGCGATATCCAGCAATGGCCCTGGAGTTGGGAGGCCATCTCTACAACATTTGCAACGCCCCAGCTGCTTGTTGGCAGCCATCAGATCTGCAGTTTTTCTGGGGCAACCATGGGCAACCTCTTTTACCCTTGCCAAACTGCCAAACCAGTTCAATGAAGTCCAATGAAGACTAATGAAGTGGAATGAAGTCTCATGAATAATTTTGACATGATTTGACCCACAGACTATTGAACACCGCTAGTCAATATCATTGGACAGTATCTAGAATAACATAACACACATAGAATAACTAGCATATTAACAGCAGTTATCATTAGTTATCTATTTGGCTCTCATGGGTTCTCCTCCACTGTGGCCGGCGCGTTCAGGAGAAAGGCAAGGCCATCGCCAAAGCTTTGGGCTCTTCCTGTGGGCAGCGTCTGGGTGCCTGTGCCGGAGCCGCCATTGGAAGCTTGTGTGGCCCATTTGCGCCAGTTGCCTCAGGACTGATGGGTTCAAATACTCCTACGCAACAAACAGAATGAAAGCATCCAAAAGACAATGATCATGAACATAGTATCATGATTACACTAATAAAAGCAATCACGATTGTAATATATGTACTGTATATAGATATTTTACTATCGTTACTCTCATTCCTGCTGATCCTAATTATGACATTCCAATTGACTTTCGTATTGTGGAGATTTGGTTGTGACGGGGTTGAAACCATCAAATCAGAGGAGTTTTATCCGTTCTCGGTGGACTGGTTGGAGCATTGGCTGGGAACTGGTTCGCCTCGCGATGTGCAGAAGGTGCCATGGGAGGAGTGGATCTGGGAAGTACCCTACACTTTGCTGACCAATTACCAGTGCTGGATGGTGTGATGCTGGACCCAGTGTCCGGCTTTGTGGCTGCAGCTTCACAAGGTCACAAGGATGGGAGTCAAGGGCACTTTGCACAGCTCAGTATGCATGATGTTGCCGTGATCTTGAAGGTCGAATTTTTCAATCAAGGCAGAGCAGAGTTCTCATTGGATGCATTTGACCCACTGGAGCCCTTTGGAGAGTTCCAAAAGAAGGACGGGTGGGCGAAAAAAAGAATTGATGGGACCCCACATGACTTGAACTTTTTAGTCTTTGACATTCTGCCCTGTGGCAGGTATTTCGCCCTCAGTTCTTGGCAGGAACAGATGTGGGTGAACTCCTCTTTCGAGCAGATGTACTTCTGAAACGTCTAAGCCTTGGGCTTGAAGTGCCTAATTTGCCCGGATGGCGCAGCCCACTGGACTTTGGGGAAACCATCCATGACAAGCACAGACTTTGGATCGTCCCACTTGAGGCCCACCCTCAGGTGGTGAAAGACTCTGCAGATCCTTCACTGAACTTCGTGTTGCCTGGAAAGGTGACACTGGCAGTGTTGGCTTGTGCACTAAATGTGGACCCAAACTCAGAAACTGGGCTGGTTGATTGTCCTGTCACCGATCCCCAGGATCCTGCTTGTTTGATGGCGTTGCAGTGCTCGGTGCGAATGGATGAATTAATTGAGTACTATCCCACTCTGAAGAGACTCCATGGTGTTTACCAGACCCTCACCATGTTTCGAATGATGAAGCAGATGGGTGCAACAGTAGACTACAGTTGGGTGGAACTTTTTGCAGGCCCCTTGTTCGAGACACCCGGCAAATTCTCAACACTTACAAACTCCTTCACCACTCGGAACTGGCAAAGCATTAGCACGCGGACCTTGGTTGGTGGTTGTGTGCTGGGGGATCCTAACATGAAAGTCACACCAGTTGAGGTGCAAGCTGAGTCAGGAGACCTGAAGGAATTGTTCAACCTGGCCAGGCTGCGGCAGGTCTCTCGCATTCCTGCCAGCTACTGCATGGGTCGCCGCTTGGACGACAGTGACGACAGTACGCCTAAGTTGCGTAACTTGTCGGCCAAGTTGGAGCAAGGCGGGTCCGTTCTCGTGGATTTGCCAAGGCCGCTTCCAACCAGAGAAACCCAACTGGTGCTGATGCCCTTCGCCAAACACGAGGGCTTCGAGTGTGCAGCTTGCCACCGTCCTCTCCTTGCAGACCCTTCGGGCCCCGATGGGATTCGCTACCAGACCGTCTTGGGAAAACCTTTGTGCTCTAGGCTGCCTGGTGACAAATCTCCGTTTGGTGTCCTGGGAGTCTGCGTGGTGCGTAGTACACGTAGTATATATATGTATATATATATATGCATATACATATGTATATATATATGTATGTCTATATACATATATGTATATATATATATATGTATATATATATATGCATATACATATGTATATATATATATGTATATATATATATGTATATATATATATATGTATGTATATATGTATATACATATATACATATATATGTATATATGTATATGTCTATATGTATATATGTATATATGTATTTATGTATATATGTATATATGTATATATGTATATATGTATATATGTATACATGTATATATGTATATATGTATATATGTAAATATGTAAATATGTATGTATGTATATGTGTATGTATATATATATATATATATCCTGACATACATGCATGCATGCACGCATACATACAGACAGATATATCATGATATATATATAGGAATATATATATATATATCCTGACATACATGCATGCATGCACGCATACATACAGACAGATATATCATGATATATAAATATATAGGAATATATATATATATAGAATAGAATACATATATATATATATATATAGATAGAGATAGAGTGATATTATATATCTATTTCACACACATATATATATATATACACACAAATACGTGTACATAGAAGATTCTGTGTAGAGGTTCTAGAGTTTGTCGAGTTTCTGGATTTATTCTTGCTCCTACAGTTTTGTTCCATCGCAGTTTTTCACTGCTTGCACTTCGTAATGCAACGCAATCTTGCGAAGTGGTGGAAGCAAACCACAGGTGTTTCAGCTTGGTTACCGAGTGTACACAGAGTCTGCAGCGGCCGAAGTGACTGAGGCTTCATCATCTTGACGGTGATCTCATTGGGCCGGCGTTTCGACTGACTCCGCCCCAGCGATGCGCTGCATGCGGCGAGGACCTTCGAAGTGACATTTTTATGGTGCGCTCAACGGAGGAAACTCAGTTGGATTATCACATTGGCTGTGCCCCTGCAGATGCAGTTCAGCGACACTTTGACAACCAGGAGGAGGAAGCAGCTGCTTTTGAACAGTTGTTGGGCCGCTTGAATCAACCTGAACTTCAAGGTCAGCGCTTGGGTGGCTTGACATCAATGCCAGGGGCTCGAGTGGCACTACTCAACAGTCTATCCTCTGGGAATGGGTTTGTAGACGTCCAACAAGCCATTCAAGCTTCCCTGGAGCCTGAGGGGAGCCCACATTTTGATAGTATGTCTGACGAAACCCAGATCAGCGAAGATGCTGAGCTGGCTCTAGCGCTGCAGGAGTCAATGCTGGCAGCAGATGGTTTCTCTGCACAGGACATTGCTTTGGCCTTGCAGCGTTCTGCCCACACCGGCTGAGTCAGTCTGTGGTGCATATGTAGATAGGGTCATGGCCACAGTGCAGTTTTGTGGTTGCGTTGACGTCTGATGGTGTATTTCAGTCCAAGAAAAGAGGCTCAAGGGTAACAGCGCCGCAACAAAAAGACTTATCTTTTTGCAATGATGACATGCTGTACATATGTAGCCACAGCGTGCTATTGTGTTATTATGGAGGCTACTGAGTCCTGCTGAGAGTGGGGCTGTGCTGAGATCTGCTGTAGTACCTAAATCCCAAGGAACATTTGCTGGCTAGTGATTTGGATGTGGCGTGATTTGCCTTTCAGCTTGTTATGTAGGAATGTTTTCCTCCCCGAATGCCTCCCACAAAACACAAGCAACCCGTATTTGCAAGACTTCTCCTGTTTCTTTAGATATGCTTCCTTGATCAGCTTTTGCAACCGCGAGGTCGGCATCGTCGGAGATTTTGTTGTGCCCAAGATATCCCATGATATCCCGTGCAAGCGTAGCTGGCTTTAGGGTGAACATTAGAGGGATGGACCAAGCCTAGTCTTGACCCCCGTTTTTTGCCAGTGGTAGTCTGCCAGGAAGTTTCACAGACTAGTTGATGGCAAGGTTGAAACAGGGATGCTGACAAGATGATGCAGAAAATTTATTTCTCGCAGAAAGTCTTGAATTACTTTCAGACGCGCAAAGACAACTTTGCCTCTAGTCACTAATCAATGATTCGAGCTTTACTCCATGGCATCAGATATCCATTTCGCAAGGCGTTCTCTCATGTCCGCAGCTGGCTCTTCAAGGAGCATAAATCAGATCTTCAGCACCTCTACGTGTAATTACATGTATTACATGATAGCAGTCCAACAAGAACGGAAGCTTTGCCCAAAGCATCGGATGGAAGATCCCGACTTTGCTCCAGACTCAAGACTGAGCTTGTCGATGAAGTTTGGACTCAAATTCTGCTTAAATCTCTATTTCGCTGGTTATACCATGCATCCCAAACACCAAAAACATATTGCACGGCACGATCTGGTTGCGGCTAACGCTTTGTGGGTTCCGTCCTATGAATTTTCATGTCATCCCCGTGCAAAAAATCCGCAGACAGTTGTAATTTACACAAGCTGCTTGCCATGACGCATGTGCGCCCCAAGAATGCCAAAATTGACCAGCATGGCAGACCACTCTTGGAGCCTTGGCTCATTGGAGTTGGCCCATCCCCCTGGTTGTTTGTTTATGTTTCGATTATTGCAACCCCCGGAAGATAGAAAAGCAAAGTCCTACTACTGACATGGTGGCAACATACCTTTTTAATCTTTTGTATCCCTTTTGGGGTGATATATTGGATGATTTACATTTCCCTTGACCGTCTAATGAAAGGGACTCCCATAATTTGGGCTACTACGATAAACATATGGGGTTTGCAACTTCAAGGTTTAAGTCGCGAACATTCGTTTGAGGCACGTTTGAGGCCAGATTGGTCAAACACGATTCGAACAGAGGATTACCTCTATAGACAAGGGGTCAGGATGTGACTCTTTGAGGCTCACAGCTATTTCAGCAAAGCTTCGTCCAGTTGATGTGTTTTTGGTTCCCTGGGGCCCTGGGTCCAGTCATTGGGAAACACGTGGCTGGTCTAATGTCAGGCGCCAGCAATGGATGGGGAGAACTTGGTCTAATTCTCCATGGATCGACCTGGAAAAAAATCTCCAAGGCCAGCAATGCTGCCCTCAGTTGGTTCACAGAGCGAGCTACCATGGACGACCGTTCCTTGGACCTGCCATGGACCTGCCATGGCTTGGTTCTTGTACTGGTGGATGTTGACCTGGGATTTTTTGTTGCCTCCCAAAAACCGATGCTTAGACGGTTAGAGTTAGATCATGTAGACTTAAATCCTTCCCAAAAGAACAAACTGACTGGTGCTTAGTAGGGAATTGGATGGAATTGGTGCTTCGTAGGGAATGGAGGAATGAATGGGGGAATGAATGGGGGAATGACCTCAAAATATCATCATACCCATAAATACCTATCGAACAATCACCCCATTCCCCCAGATCTGAGATGATCTGAGGCTATAGCCGCTGGACGGCCCACGGCAGTGGAAGCTTTCTCGAAGCCTTGACGCGGAGACACAGGCACGGTTGGTCCTGGGGCTGAAAATGGGCGATAGCCAAGATATGGAAAATACTTGTGCGAATCATCCTTAGGATTTGTTTTTTCCATTTCAAGATGCATCTGATCTGATCTAAGCAGTTTGGAAGGTTGATATTCCAAGTCTGCTGGAGAGTTTGTCCTGTGTCATTTCCGAAAAGAGTCAAGAGCAAGGGGAGTATCGTCTCAGTGTTGTACCCATCAGGGAGGACTTTGAAAGCCAGGGACCCACCACCACTGCTAGGCGTCCCCCAAAACATAGACAGGCCAATCAGCAACAGAATTCTAGGCAACAAATTTGCTCTGGAGTAAATCATTATCAGAATAATAGGGAACAACTTTGCTATTTTTGCAATTCTTATAGACACTTTTAGGCACCCCGACTGATTCTGATGCTGCCAGAGGTATTTCGCCATCGGCTTCCCTCACGCCAGCAACAACACCTCGGACGGCATGTGGTCAACCTTCTCGGAGGGTCATGGATCGCATCGCTGGAAAGGACCTCACCGCATAGGAATGGACAGAATGAATCCATGGATTTCCTGGAATTCATGGCCAAAATGAAGCATGGAGAATTCGTGAGTGTTCAGCAAGACATTTTCTGCTCGTTAGGAAGATCTTTGAGAGTTGAGTTGAATAGATTCTTTGATTTTCCCTGGAATTCTCCAGCAATCCACTCTGCACGAAAGCCTCAAAGTTCCGGTCCTGAACTCCAGGAACCACTGATGGTGCCATGGAAGAAGGGTTCCAGCCGTTGGACTTGCAGGTTGGGGTGTTTTTTTTTTCCCACCAATATAAGGTTTGTTCCACCAGAAAGCCGCAACATAATTAATTGTAGGTTTATTGCCAACCCACACAAGCGGGTTCTGAATTTTGATCTTAAGATGACCTCAATGCAAAAAGTTTACGCCCACCCCAAGCAAACCTTCCTGTGTTTTGGTCAGTTTAGGCAATTCCTTGAGAGACCAGCAACCGATTACATGTAAATATAGACATATATAATGATATACAGCAGAATATGTTTGAATGGTACAAAAGTCATTCTATCACCTCTTTCTCGATGGCAACCTCCAATCTACAAACTCTATGCCGCAGCGAAGCATGACACATGTCAGGTGTATTCCGCCCGCGACACTCGCACTGCCCCAGTGCCCAAAGGTATCCAACGGGGGGACTTTTTGTCACATCCGTCAACAATGGGGAGTTCACCCATAATTTCTGGAAATTCTGCGAAAATTTGTTGAAAATCAATGGCAGGGGTCAAGTAACGCTTGTTGACACATCAACACGCGATGTCCTGGTGTTCAATTTGTGGTCAGTGTTAATGCTCATGAATCCTGGATCATTCTCTGGGAACCCATCAAAAACCCATACAAAGCTTCTGATTCTACTTGCTTTTACATGGTGAAGGTTCAGAACAATATCCAATTATCAGCTGTGAAACTTGTGGGTTGATCTGGTCCTCATTCGGCGCGACTTCTGAAGTTGCGGGCGGCAACTACTGCTCACAACATTTGAGGGCCTTGGCATTTGATTTGACTCAATTTCCAGCAATTTCATATGGGTTTGTCCATAACCTCGTGTTAATGTGGAGGAGGATTTTACAAACCATGTGATTTTGGGGGTACCGTATAATTGTATAACATACCTGGCCAGTAGGTGCCTCCTCAAGTTGCCAGGCAGTTGTCGTGCTTCAACGAAAGCTTCAAGTGTAAGCGCCAGAGTCTGCGGCGAAGGAGCTGTTGAAGGTGCAAAATGTGGGGTGGAGCGAATGGTCAGCCACTGTTTGATGATTTGCCCAAACTCATGGGTTTCTTTCAGCATTAACTTAGTCTACTCAGTTTGTTTGGATGAATGCGAGTGCTGCGGCTCAGGATTTTTTTACAGTCGCAAAACTGATGGCTTTGACATTTCAGATTGCTAGCTTTTCGTGGTTCCTCCAGAACTTGGTCTTCGGGCACTTTGATGGTGGTCAGTGATGGTCGGTCGAGCTGTGCACATGACCCCTGACAACGCAGGGAGAAAGCCGTAGCCATGCCTTGTAGGATCTCGACCTTGCTACAATCTGTTGTTACAACCTGTTGTTACAAGCTAAAATTACTTTGCGTTTTCTTGACCTTGTTGAGTGCCATTTGGCAGTTCTTGCTCCAGGTGCATCCAACGCCAGTACAAGTGACCGACATTCCCGGCTCAGTCCGAAGCTTAGAACTGGATATGTCAGGTGGGTTTGCAAGGACTCTGGGCAGTTCTTCACTAGAAGATACCGCACCTCTCAACTCAACTTGTTTTTTTGGCACACAAAGATGCGTTCCCTACTCCTGGATTTGGGCGTCTCCCCACTTGAAGCGCCCATCGGTACCAGATCATGTTTGTTTGAGTTGTTCCACTAGTCGGAGTCTACTCTTGCACAGAGAAGGTGATGAAATTGGTAGCATGGTTTCACACTGATACACGTATACATATTATATAATAATCACATATATATATACATATATATATACATATGATATATATATATGTATATATTCATACACTATCAGTAGATGTATGTAACTGTAATATACACGCATAATATTCTTATGATTCTGATTGTGTAATTATTTAGCCCCAAGCACCAGGCTTTGAAGTGGGCACTGTTTTTTTTAGCTCTAAGTCAGTGCCCAATCTGATCATCCAAAAGCCTGGCAGAGTCTCCTTGCGGCCAGGTGGTCTACCGGATCTACCGCGGTCAGACGACTCAAAAGCTTCCTCTGAGTGCACCTATGTGCGACGCCTGGTGGGGAGCTCAAAAGGTGCCCGCAGAGGCTAGAACCAAAGTCATTCCCAGCGTTTCAGATTGACCATGACAGACCCATGTCCAATGTCTTTCAAAAGCACTGAACTTGAGAAATTCCAGAGGAGTTACGATTTAAAGAAGATGGTTGAACACAAGTGAAACTACGACAAGAAGGTACTGCTTGGCCTCACCACATGGAAATTTGGCGAAATGTCGGCATGCGTCAAGATTCAGGAGACCAGAAACCAGACACCATGCAGTCCCATATCAGACTTTGGCACATGTCCCACTGTGGGCACAATCAACAAGATATTGATAGTTGTTGGGTTGGTATGGCTTGCTCAAAGTTGGTAGACTATCGGTAAAATCTCAAGTTTGAACAACCCCTAGACCCAATTTTCTTCAATGATACCCGATCCTCCCCAGGAAGCCTTACGCCGGGTGCAGCCAAAGCCACATGTGAGTGGTCCGGCTGGGCGGCCAGGTTTGACCGGGTATCTCCCAAGAGGTGGTACCAAAAATGGTGATGGCTAAGATATGTTGAAATTCCCCCGAATTTGTGCCCAATTCTTTAGATACAGATTGCATCAGATTGCACAGCATTCCGCACTTTCAAACATGCCCAAGGTTCGCAAGCTGGACTGGGACATGTTCGCCGTTTGGCTCTCAGTTCATCAGGAGGACACCACGCAAGATCTCTTCCTGGCTCCTTGAAAATGAGGCTGACATGAGTCTGGATTGAAGCGTCAGTCCACAGGTCTTGGCGCCATATCTTTATATATTTTTGGGGTGTAAACCATCTCAGATCTCATTCTTGGATTACCCCCGATGAACCATACCCACAAAATTCCATCATTTTCCATCATTTCCATCATGTTCGATCATTTTCCATCATTTCCATCATGTTCGATCATTTTTACACCTTTTGGGTTCATGAATTTTCCATCATTTTCCATCCTTTTCCAACATTTTCCAACATGTTCCAAAATCATCCAAAATCCCTGCTCTTGATCCATATCCAAATTGGTATAAATTGGTGCATGGCTGGGAGTCCCATAGTCCAGGTGACAGCGCAGCGGGACTTTGAGTTCGAAGCGACAGGCAGCGATTCCCGGGACCCTGGGAGGTCCCAAAGATGGCTTTGACAAGAATTATATAGATGGGTATGCCATATGCCCCCAAAATGACGTTAGTCAATGGTTGATAATAGTCCATTGGATGATAGATAGCCATCAATTGATCCATTTTAAGGCCATTTTAAGGGGAAAAATGATGATAGTCCAATGGATGGAATGGGGTACGTTTCAAGAAAGATCTGATTAGTAAGATTGGTCCAAAATCTGGCACCCCAAAAAATTGCCGAGAGATGCCACAAGGGTCTACCTCTTGTATGATAGAAAATGGTGTATATAGGGGCTTGGATCCCCATTTGTAGCTAATTTCCATGAGAAGCAGTCACCAGAGGTGCATAACTAGGGTACATGGCTATATGGGCTATATGATAAGCTGAAAGCCTATTTTCTTGATTACTAGATATACACATACATGTACATATACATACATACATACACATGCAGATACACATGCAAATACACACATATCCATATACATGCACAATGCAAATGCAGATGCACATACGTGGCACATACAGATATACATATATATATAATATAATATATATATCTAAATACATATATATACATACATACATACATACATATATAGAGATACATATAGATTATACACGTATTCCTGAGTTTTCTGTTCTCCAATTTGCCCACCATTTCAAGCATGTTATGATGCCTGCCGGATGATCCAGAGGCAAACGCGCTATTCATCCCACGGTGATTCCAGGACCTGGTGCTATTGAAACCAATTTCTGTTCCCCTTTGGTAATCAAACCAAACATGGCAATTAATAATCCTATGTATCTATATATATATGTATATATATAATTATATATAATATGTATTTATGTATTCTATATATATATATGCATGTATGTATGTATGTATGTATGTATGTATGTAATATAAATGGAGGTTTCTAGCTGGGAAAGTCATCGAACTACTGGGGGAGTTTCCAGCAATGGGGCTGATTACTACTGGAGGTATTTTTGAAGCTTTTCCATGGCTGGGATGGGAACATTGACAACGCATGGGATTTTGGGGTACGGATTTGCATACAAAGCCATTAAGGACATCACTTATGATGTCCTTTCCCGCTGTGTTGACGATGTATGTGTAGAGGTATATAAGCGATAGGTACATGATGGTACTGGTAAGCAGTACAAATCGGCCCAAGTGGTGAATTGACTGGTATGACCAAGCAACCGGCGGCACAGAAAACCATGATGTCTTGGGAATAGACCTGGGTAGGAGCAAAGCCTCTGGCGAATGATCGCAAAAAGAAGAAGAAGGAAGAGTAACAGCAGCATCAGCAGCCGAAGTTTCAAAGAGAAACGACGAAGGGAACAGCGATGGAATGAAGAGATGGAACGATTTTTTCGTAGTGGTAAGGTCATCCATGACATCGATGACATCGATTACTTTTATGACTTTTGACTTTGCGTGCCTGCTAGGGCTGTGATTTTCCCTGAATTTTAGGGGGGTTCCTGGCAAGATGAACAGTTCAGGCACAATTGGATCATGGAGTGTCGGGTATAGAGTGAAGATATCATAGGATCCAGCCATGTGACAGAAAACATGATTTGGCTACGAGGTGAATTAAATGAACATAGTTTGTAGAAGGTCAGTTTGCCTGTGCATACATAATGTACTAATGTACATATGAATATATAGTATGTAGTATGTATATATATATAGATACACATAATATACATCTATACGCTGTATATGATTCTACATGTATACATACAAGAATACACCATATAATACCAGTATATTGTGATACGGACATATGACCAGTTTTTACTAACGACGTAACACGAGAAACTTCTTAGGGCTGCTCACAACCAGCGACGGCGTCAGATAGTCGTTGGGCCTCCCAAGGAGCCCAATGTCAAGCGACGCGAAACTGGTGGGCTGTAGCTTTGGATTTAGAGATACCCTACAGACAGACGCAAGTCTGGTGTTTTGTAGTAAGGTTCTGGATTTAGCATGTCTTGAGTCTCTTGAGTGCAGCATCCCGTGACGTCCTGTGAATGATATCACCAAGTTTGCAATCTTTTAGCCCAGGTAGGAAGTCTGTTTGCAGCGACATGTGCAAGCTCTGGGTCATGAAACATGAGTGAACCTCTATGACACAGAAGATGAATTTCATTCACATGCACAAACTTAGATGGATCGGAGTCAAATGCACGCGGTAGTTGATGACCAATCAGAACATCCATGACACAGAGACACTGGTGGAGCAGAATTGCTGCACTTGACAGACTGGTGGCCGTGCTTTGCTAGTGCTGCGATCAGCAAAAAATGGGCTGCGATCGATACTGCAGGACCTGTGATAATCATCCCAGGGATCGGAATCCTGGGAGAAAGTTGGGATTGGAATGAAGGGAGTCTCCCTTGATTTTGGCTCAAGGTTCTTAAATTTTAGTCCAATTGCTGCGCCTGGGGCTCTCTCAGCAGAGCAAGGCACATGAAGTTAGAGGCACCAGTGCTTTTTGTGTGGCAGTCGTGTGGTACTCACCTTTTGGATATCGACATCCCGGACATCCCCCCCAAAATCACCAGATGTAAGGTCAAAGTGGGCTAAGACCATGGATGATGGGGATGGGTCAATTCCTATTTCACCATCGGAACTACAGGATGAAAATCCACTTGACTCCATACCAGCCCGAGTCGGGTCCAATTTGGAGCAGCTGATGTGCTGTATCTAGCGTCATCTCTCTGAAATGGTCATGTCCAGAGAAGCAATGTGGTTTATTGCTGGGTCGAAGAAACTGCCTGGCCCACATCACTTTGTGATTTGGGTGGAGATCATTTAGTGCCCATGGCAGGTTCGCAAAGGCATGGATTTGGATCTACTTTCGCCAGTTTCGAAGGCATCATCCCATCATCCCCGAAGTGTGGGGAGCCACACGGGACCGTGTTCGTTTTCACTCGAGCGGGCACATCCATTGGTGATTTGGTGGAAACCAGGGTGTGAGGGTTTGCATTTGGTTGGGAATCTCTGAGTTTCCTTTCAGCAGAAGGACATTTAGAAGGGTTAAATGAGCTGGGCTTTATTCATATGCTTGATTGAAACCGTTCTTACCAAGTTCCCAACATGGATAGTGGACGTTGCCACCTGCACTTCATTGCACTTCCATGTGGCAATTCTGAGGATGAGCTTATGTGCACACCATGGAGTAATATGAGTAATGATATATGAATTGTATGATTTGCATGACTGTATGATTGATGGGGAACTGAAACCACCAGAGACATGGGCTTTCATGGCCCAAAGCCTCGTTGCGTCAGGCGCACAGCTCCAAATGGGTGGACCAATATGCCTGCGACGCTCTTTGCATCTTGGCAAAATTGGGAAGAGCCGTGAGGACCTACGTTGCTCAATCTCTGGTATTTGCTGAAGCCCGTGTCTTATACTCTTCCTTTGGGTCAATATGTCGGATTTGCAACACACCCTTACTTTGGGGCTTAAAAACCGCGGTTTCGTCTCTTCTCTTGACTCAATCCAGCAATGGACGGACCAGCGGACCCCTTTCCGGACCCATGGTAGGCTTGACCCCAAGCAGCCAGGTCTGCTGATAATGGATGACAGGCGAAGCTGCCCTGTATCCAGTGATGGCTTCACTTGTAATGGGGATACTTCCAGGTTGGTAGCTGCTGGTAGTTGCTGGTAGTCTCAATATATATATATATTATATATATACATACACACACATACATGTTATATAAAATATGATTATGCATGCGGATGGATGGATGGACGATGATGGATGGATGGGTGGGTGGACGGATGGATGGATGTGCATCTATGTGCATCTATGTGTATTACTATATATATATAATATATATATATATAATATATAATATATATATATATTTACACAGGATGGTGCCCCCCAGTTATAAGTTGGTTTATAAACCCCATTAACTATAGTTATATCTGCCATAAACCATAGTTATGGGAGTTATAAACCAACTTAGCTAACTATGGGGCACCACCTTGCATCTATTTAGTCCTTGATTTCACCGAAATCCATGTCTTTTTTCCAAAAGCACTGACTCATGGCCTGGCAGGCGGATTGGTAGCACTTCCGACAGGGGCGCAGGGTTGCGGCGACGCCGGGCCTTGCCCCCGTTCCTCTACGTGGAGGAGATGCGGAGATGCAATGGACAGTCTGGGAATGTCTGGGAGAATGATGGATTTCTATGATTTTTCTATGGATTTCTATGGATTTTCCACTCTTTGAGCCTATTTAAATGGCTATTTAAATGGCTGGGGTGAATCGTTTTAACATCGGAAATTGCTGAGGCTCCCAGGCTCCCAGCTCAGCTTCATGGGAGGCCATTGGACCCTTTCTGCGCTTCGAGGGGCTCTTACCAAACATGCTTGGATTCCCAGTTACTCCGCTCGCGGAGCGCTTGCTCAATTGGCCGCCTGCCAGACATAAGACTAGCGATGGACTGGAATGGGTCAAAACCTACACTACCAGAACTAGCTACCTGATAGTACCGAAACTAGGAACCATTTTGACATACACCGGGGCAGCAGGGTTTTGACCCACCTTGATACCTTGATACCTTGATACCTTGATACCTTGATACCTTGATCTCTCTCTCTCTCTCTCCCTCCCTCGCTCTCTCTCTCTCTCTCTATCATTATCCAACTATATCCCCATGAGATCCCTATGATATCCCCATAAATCACCATTGTAATCAAATGAGGCATAGCTTTCCTCTTGCGACCAAGGCTTTATGCCTTTGGCGGGCGCAACCAGGAGTCCGGGCCACTTGACAACGTGGAGGGCTCAGATTTACAGGACACCCAGGGTTTCCATCCATTTTTCATGGTGAAAAATCATGGTTTCCTGTGAAACAAATCCCTCAATGCAGTTGGTTATTTTCCGATGAGAACCAGGCAGGATATCCAGAATATCATAGAATATCCAGGTATGCAGGACGCGAATGAAACATGCATATCTGATATATCTGCATACTGCACGACAAGTTTGGAATGCGAGCTCAAACAAATTTATACAAATTTCACAACCTATCCAGAGAGATGTAGCTTGTAGCTTCCCAAAAGCCCAAACGTTACAGATCGATAGTCAGACAGATTTCACCCAGGTGGAGATGTTCAACACCTATCACGGGCAGTGGGTTGCAGCCTCAACCGCCTCAACCCTCAATACGGGGGATCCAACTTTTTTTTGGCGCACATCCCTACCATGGGTGGCTACCCATATTCTTGTGGGTGTGAATCCGCATGTTTTCTGGTAAAAACTACATGCCTTTTCGGTTCTTGTTGATTTAGGTTGATTTAATAATTTTACTTATTTTTGCACAGTGGATCCATATCTTTTGTTGGCTAACTCACCATGGTCGGGCGAACGAATGCTGATTCGTTGCTTCACTTTCCAGTTGAGTGCCCTTTGATCCCCATATTTCCCGGCCTTTTTGTTGCTGAACTTCCCGTTTTTATTGCCCAAATATTTATATAGACTTATATTTTTCTTGGCAAAAACTACTTACCCTCTGGTAATTTAACGTAGCTATTGAAAATGACCATTAATAGTGGATTTTCCCATTAAAAATGGTGGATCTTTCCATAGCTATGTTAAATTACCAGAGGGTAAATCACGACATTTTTGTTCCCAAACATCTCGCCGAGAGGTGCCAGCGCCCCGCATGCCCAAGCGCCGCGCCGGCAGCGCTGCAGCAGTGCTGGCGGATGGGCGAATGATGGTGATCGGCGGGTGCGCGGCAGCCGCTGTCGCGTTTTCGCGGCGATGGGGTCCATTGCCGTGGAAATTCATGGAATATGATCCATGAATGGATAACCCGAATAATTGGATTATGACTATTGGGATTATGCATCAAATAATCTAATATAATCTAATAATATCTAATAATCCATAGATATTATTGGATGGATAATCCCAATGATCATAGTCCATGGGATGTATAACTCGAGAAATATTGGGATTGGGGTATTCTTGAGATATGTAAATTTATTGGAACGTTCCATAATGATTATTGGGAAAAGTAATCACATCGATAAGTAAACATCTAATAACTATTGGGAAATTTACCCTCCGGTAAACATACAACAAGATGTGGAAAAGGCACCCGGATCGATGAGTTGATTGTTATTCAGATGTATTCAATGAGCAACCAGAAATCATTCAAACAGCTGCCAAGATCATGGAATATTCCTTGGAAGATCATGGAATATCTACCGTCAGCCTTCCAAGTGATGGCTCCAGGTACACAGAGGAGGGCATAGCCCAGGGCTTGTTGTCCAGCTGTGACGTCTTCAATCCCTTCACCGGGGAGTGGACTGAGGAGCTGGTGAAATGCCCATCAGTCTTGGTCAACGACACAGCACCGTTACGCTGTTTTTTTTTCCCCAAAAGAAGCTGCGAACTTCATGATGCTACCCCAGTCTTCCTGATTTTCTTTCATCACCAGTGTTTTTTTAAAACCATTTTTCATGGGTTTGAACTGCCACTTCTGATTGTTGAATATACATCCACATATAGATCCGACATAGATATACAATGATATACATAAATCGCAGCTACATCCAGATCAACATCCCATTGTAATGAATATACATCTAGATATGGATCCCACGAATGGAATAAATACAATTTCAATTACCCTCTGGTAAGCTAACATAGCTATTGAAAATGGCCATAGAAATAGTGGATTGATTTACCCATTAAAAATGGTGGATCTTTCCGTTCCTAAGAATTTCCACAGGACGGCGCAGCGCCTCTAAGTCGTGGCCGCTGGGGCCACGGTTGCGCCTCCCTGCAAAACAAGGCCGAACCCTGAGGTCCAATGGAACCGCTTGGTCTTTTTTTTAGGATTAGATGGTTGATTTTGAGACCTAAGGTGGTTTGAAATGACGCCAGTTTTAGTAACTTTACTGCTCTTTGACCTGAAAAAGACCCAGTTTTGTTTCTGAATGATGACTTTGGTGCTTTCACTCGAAGGTTTTTAGCTCAAACAATGGTTTTGTCGCAAGAGCGTGGTTTCCAATGCCATGCCCTGGAACAACACTATACGGGTCGTCGTCAACTATGCGACAAGTGGAGCTGAAATCGCAACTCTTGAGGTCGACCCATCACAATCCGCACAGGACATTCAACAGGAGATTTTTCGTCTCACCGGAGCCCCAGCATATCGGCAGAGACTTCTTCATGAGTCTGAGGTTCTGGACCCCAGACGAAGACTCCAGGACCTGGGCTTTACCCGGGAGCTGAGTTTGATGCTCATAGTCCAAGATGTTTTATGGCTTGCCACCACTTCTGTGGATGGTGGAGTCAAGATTTGGAATGCAGATACCGGAGAGGTAGTTCAGACTCTAGGTGGCCACCAAAATGGTGTTCGGCATGCTACCTTTTCGTCAGACGGGTGTACGTTGCTTACTGCCGCTCGGGATTGTACTGCAAAGATATGGAATGCGTTGACTGGCGAGCCTATAGAAGTTCTTCGTGGTCACACCAATGCCGTGTACAAAGCAGTCTTTTCTGACGACGGGCTCATGGTGCTGACTGCTTCCAATGATGGCACTGCCAGACTTTGGTATGTGCTCACGGGAGAATGCATCAAGATTTTTGCTCCCCACGACGATGGGGTCATATCTGCAATCTTTGCCCGAGATGGTTCCATTTTGACCGCCAGTGTGGACCGCACCGCGAGGGTGTGGGACCTTCAAACAGCTGAGTGCGTACAGGTGCTGAAACGGCCAAGAGGTGAAGTCATTGTCGCCGTCTTTAGCACACGGCAGTCATTGAATCTCGCCCTCTACACTCTGCAAGAAGGGACTGCAAAGCTGTGGAATATTGCCACGCAGCAATGCATACAGACTTTCAAGGGTCATAGGGCCTACATTACTGCGGCAACCCTGTCTCGAGACTGCTCGCAACTGCTGACGGCTTCATGGGATCGCAGTGTGAAGCTGTGGCCAGTGCAAGCTTTTCGAAAGACCAGGAAGCCGGCTATGACCTTTTTGGGACACAGCAATGGTGTTGTGTCGGCGGAGTTCTCTGTAGACATGACAAAGATAGTCACAGCTGCCTCAGATGGTGCTGCCAAAATTTGGGATGCTCAAAGTGGTGATTGTCTTCGAACGATTAAGGGTCAGGGCGCTGTAGTGAATCATGCAACATTTTCACCAACGTAGTACCCATTTGGCCTGGACAGCAATCCTGGCAATCTTGTTTCGTTTCACCCAGAGCTTAAGCGGGGCTCTCATTTTGCAGCATTTTGCAGCAGTTAATGCGCGCCCAAGTGGCAAAATAGCAATGGAATATATACTGATCCAGAAGTGATGTTCCATTCAGGATGTGCTCTGTTTGGGTTGAGCTGAACAGCTGCAGGTCTATGTGGTCGGCGGATGCTCCTTGCAGCTTGAAGCACAAGCTGCAGAGGCAGAAACATGGCTGTCGGATAGCAAGGGAAAGACGACAACACGAGAGAATTTTTGGGGTTCTTTGACTTTGCATTAAGGTGCTCAATTGTAGGAGTTTCCAGGGGATCCTACTCGGAATTCTTATTTTTGGGATTTGCAGAAAGCAGCAGTTCGGAACCAAGATCTAATCTGCGTTGTGGCTTTAAAAATCACAGTTTACTCTATTGTATTCTATCACAATTTCTTTTTCTCCCATTTTGTCTATTTTCCTTCCCAGGTGTCGTACAATTTGGCCTTGGTCAAGATGTCAGACCCTTCAACCTACAGACAAAGTGTTTATTGCGACTGCAAAAACCATCCTTTCCTTTTGGAGTATTTTGGGCTTTGGTATTTAAGTTTCGCAATCTCTTCGAGCATTCTTGAAAGTTGTTATGAAATGCGATTTGCATTACGCAGTACAACAGTGCACATGCAGGCATGCATGGGAAATGCTCATGTTCAGTGCTTATTGCAAAATCTATTTGAATGTTGGAAGCATAGATTGAGAAGACAAGCCTCACCATTGCAGACCATCCCAAGTTAGAACATGTTAGAATAATCCCACTCATCGGAGTTGACACCCAGATTTTATTACATATTTTGCTGTTGGATCTTTCATTTTGATCATTTTGGTTGCTTGAACAATCTCATTTTCAGCATGCACAATGGAACGACCCATTGCCTACCTGGCTGCCTAACACTTGGCGGAGAGGCTTTTATGGTGACGCTGCGACACTGTGAGATCTACCTTCCCGATGAGAACAGGTGCTCTGAGATTTGGACCAGATGTGAGCTGCTTGGGTCAAGCAAGCTCAATACCAAGTTTTTGCTATGTACTGATAGTACCATATATATATATATTATATATATATATCATATATATATATATATAATATATATATATATATATCATATATACATATATATCATATATATATATGATATATATCATATATATATATATCATATATATGATATATATATATATTATATATATATATCATATATATATATATCATATATATATATATATCATATATATATCATATATATATATATCATATATATATATCATATAGATATATAGTACCTGTGGCACAATGTGGCACAGGTCAAGTCACCCAGCCACCCATGATTCACATGATTTCACTTTGGAAGCCCTGCAAGACAGTATTCTCCATGCACGTGTTTTTCTTGCATGAGGGTGTTTTGCTTTCGGAAAGACCACTTCAAAAAGTCGTGCCTGGATCTCACAGTTATTGACCACCATTTCGGGATGGTTAAATATGATGACTATATGTATGACTATATGTATGACTACATATGGTGGAAGTTTGCGGCTGCATTTTGTGGGTCCATAGGCCATGACTTGAGCCATGGCTGCTAGGTGGGTGCCCACGGGCGCCTTGCAGATTCCGCGCTCGGGCACGCGTGTGGTTGCACTAGGCCAGCCTATCATCAACCACCATCAACCACCATCAACCACCATCAACCACCATCAACCACCATCAACCACCATCAACCACCATCAACCACCATCAACCACCATCAACCACCATCAACCACCATCAACCACCATCAACCACCATCAACCACCATCAACCACCATCAACCACAATCAACCACCATCAACCACCATCAACCACCATCAACCACCATCAACCACCATCAACCACCATCAACCACCATCAACCACCATCAACCACCATAAAATCCAACATAGCTGGAGGCCTCAACCATCATGAACCGTACTGGGACTTGAGCAATGGATATGATCTCATTAGGTCTCACTTCACAACAGGCTGAAACGGCATTGCAGAAGCACTCTGGTGACGTGAACACATAGCAACAAAACTTGGACTTCGACTTTCACAATTCTCAGAGGAACAAACCATGGCTTTGAAACTGGTGCAGGTTCGAAGCCTGAGTTGGAATAGCTTCAAGAAACTTGAACATGGCACACAGTTCATCCATACGCTTGTTTGTTGTGAAGTGGGCTATACCACCTTGTTCAATGGGGGCTGTTGATGATCGTCATAAATCCATCATTGATTAATACGGATCTAGTATATTAAACGTTTACCGTTTACTCATATAAATTATACAACATTATACGTTCAAGGGTATCAATTTCTAATCAGTGATGCATATGTAATGATTGCCAATGAACCAGCAGAACCAACAAAATCATGATATTAGTGAGTATGAGTGAACAGATATTTACTCTTTATTCGTTGCAACTATTTTTGGTGATTGCTAAAAATGGAGATTTTCATAAAATTGGGTTAACCCCATATTTCATCATCCATTTTCATGGGATTCTCCATCCTAAACCATCCATTGTTCGGGGGAAAACCCCCGTTGATGGAACCTTTCAGCCGCGAATCTGGCAGATTCCAGCCACCTGGCTGCCATCGGCGGCTGCGACGATGTCTTCGGGCGAGCCGAGACGCAACCCACGGCGGGGAAGCCAAAACACGGTGTTTTGATTGGTGATGATTGCTGATGATTGGTGGTTTGCAAATGTTTTTGTGATTTTTGTTGCTCTCTTGAAATTAGAAACATTGAGCATGGATGATCGTTGGGGTTTAGCATATTTGGTGGACATGGAAGCATGCAATCACTTTAGCATGTTCCGGGGATTCCAACCTAGACAGTGGAGAGGCCGAATGCATCCAAGGTCGAACTCTATGATGCGCACACAGAGCTCTGGTCCATCTTGCCGCACCACTTGAAGAATCCCAGGTGCAACCGGGATCCAGTTGTTTTGGCGGAGAACCAAGACACCACAGTTCGGGTGTGTCCGAGCATGGGGAGCACCGAGCTACCCACCAAATTGCCATTGAACGCCTTGAATTTGGAAAATTATAATCATACGTATGATAATTCCCGTTTTGCGGCACACCATTTTCGTTTGCCCGTTGCAAATCTGGATGCTCGCAGCATTTGGCTTTGCCTCGTAGCAAGTTTGGCAGCACTGTCGTTGAGCAGCCTTCGCAGCATGATGGTACTTCCTCTCAGCTCTTTGGTTTTTGAACATGCTAGCACTTCTTTGGGCCAGCGCAGTTTGATAACTATATACGATAAACATTGCAATTACACACATGATATATACAACAAAAAATCACTATATATATATATACATACGTATATACATATGTATATATACATAATATACATATATTTCTGTCTAAAGTCTGAATCCAACCCTTTTTGGATGTTTAGTTGTTTCATGTCTGTTTTGAAGCTAGAATGCAGTGCACCCTGAGGAAGCAGAGCTGGTTTGCCACCAGCTGATCCGGTATAGGATGACCTAGGGAAATACTTGGAAACATGGCTACCGCGGAAATGTCCAAGTAGACATCGCAAGTCCTGCAATCTCAAACTACCAAGATCTCGAAGTCTTTCATGTCAATCAATTGGGACAATACTTCTTTGTATATACATATATATATATATCCTACTCATCATCCCTACTGGTACCTTTGGAAAGTCCGCGAAGGATCTTCGTTCTCTGGCTTTGTTTTCAAATCTATCAACCTTTCCATTTCTTCCTGTGGAAAACGTTCCCAATTCCATGGAGCCACATTGAATTGCGCTTGGCAGCTCACCCACAAAGGGAGGAGTTTCTGTGTTCTACCATGCAACTTTTGACGTAAAGTAAGGAGGGTACTGGTCGATTTTTGACCCAGCAGGGCACACGGGGTGTGGGTCTACATGGACGTGGAAAAACACTGGTTTCCCTAGGAAACTTGTCTATGTTAGGGTGATCGCAGTTGATGGTTAAATTGGTCAATGATAGTGAATGATGGTTTCTACGTGTTTTATCAATGGGACTGAGAATGGACAATGACCAGGTTTTTTCAGAGACAATTGACTCAATTGACTCAACCAAAAACATCAAAAACCCACTGGGACCCACTGGGACCCAGGTATGGAGAGTCACATCGGCGCCGACTTGCTCCATGAACTGATGCCGAAGCCAGAGGAAGAACTGGGTCGCGGCCCGGCGCACGGAGCGCCTCCTTGCCTCCTCACGGCCATTGGAAGCACAGCTGAAAGTTCTGAGATGAAACTCCATAAATAAATGGGTCATAATCTCATTAACGATTAATAAAGGTTAATAAAGGTTAATAAAGGTTAATAAAGGTTAATAAAGGTTAATACAGGTTAATAATGGGATTATGAATGGGACTATTAACCATTAATCATCAGATGTTGGGTGGTAAATGTACATGTTTCGAAAACATGTTCTGAAAAAAGATGTGTTTGACCGATTTTGTTGGATGAATAATACAGATATTGATTGGACAAATCATTCTCATCTGCCTAGGATGGTTGTTGGTGATGACCCTGGTGGAAGATTTTTGAATGGGACATGGACATTTCGCCACCCTGGAAGGCTGACAAGAACTTTTTCTTGTGCAGGTGGGGTACCAAAGTTGGAAGAATAATCCCCAGCAAACAGATGCACCCTATGTATCCCGATGTGAAAATTGAAGATGTTCAAAACTGCAGGTCACAGATGAAGTGGCCAATTCTTTTTTTCTGGCCGTTTGTATTTCTTTGGGTTTGCCCACTTGTGGTCCCACCCCAGGAAAGACGGTGCCATACAGCAGCAAAATCAAGGCCGAGGAGACAGGGCAACTTGGATTCAGAGCTACCCCTGCCAGCTGGTTCTGTTTCCCTGCCTGGCTTATTGGCCAGCCATGCGGACGTGTTGTTTTTGGGGAAGGTTCCAGTTGTTTTTCCCCAAACAGTGTGTCCACACTATGGGGTTCTTACAACAGGGGTTAGGGGTTAAAGGCCGGGTTTGATTGAGGGTTCGCATCGTGGTCTGCGGCTTTTGACCGCGCAGTTTCGCACAAAAAAATCCTCTGAGATCTTCAATGTTCCTTTCGACTGTGCAAAATGAGGGCACCAGTTTCCTCCGATCAGAAGGTCTCCTTTGAGCGGCGTGCTGCGTCCGTTCTTGGAGCTGCTAGTATGTAGATTTTTTGTGACAGGCCCAAGGGATTCGGGACTTTTGGAGGGTCAGAGCCTTGTCTGGCATGGTCCTCGCAGGACATTGGTTACTTTTTCATTCTCATGGGACGTGCAATGCTTCGTGCATGTTCCTAAAATATTGGAAGGCGCAAGTCGAAATCAGAGGTGCCGCCGGAGGACCAATCTTTTTCTGGCAGGTCCAGTATCTGGTGATTTCGTGAGACTGTCTTCACTTTTGGATTTCGTACCCGGTGGTCATTTTGTTTGGCAAGTGCAGTTCTTTGGATTCCCCAGGCTCATTTTTCCTGGCAGCAGCAGAACTTGAGAGAGCTGGATGAAAGAGTGTTTGAAACCAAGGTAAAACATAATGTTTCACATTTTCAACTTTGAGGGGGCGGGCTATACATGGTGAAATTCTAGCATATGCCTGCTTGGACAACCCTTTCGTCGCTTTGCATGTGTCCGATTGCTCTCGTTGTGGCGCGGTGCTCCTTCGAATCTTGCTCGAGCAAGCCTCTCCACACTTTGCGCGGGTCGGATCGCTCTCGGTGTGTTGTGGCGCCGTGCTCATCTTAGTTATATAACTTGTAGAGATCCTGTAGAGCTCCTTTAGAGGAGCCTTGCAGAGAGATCCTCTGAGGTCCCCAGAGATCCTGTGAGTTCTTTGAACTTTCAAGGTTCCTTTCTGCAGAGATTTTGTGTTTCCCCGAAGGAGCCTTGTATTGCAGAGAGATTGTGTGAATTTCTTGTGCAGAGGTCCTGACAGTGTCCTTCTACTTCTACAGAGATCTTGTGAGACTTTGTGAGTTTCTCATCTCTAAATCCCTACACAGAAATCCGGGACTTCCGCTCAAAGATCCTTGTAGAGAGATCCTGCGAGTGCCTTTAAAACTTTAAAATTCCCTCCTAGAAGTTCCTAGAAAGCGTCCTCAGACAGAGATCCTCCCAAGAAGTATCCTTCAGAGATCTTGTGACTCCCTGTTTCAAGGGTCTTTGTGCAGAGATTTTGAGAGGTCCTGTGAGTTCCTGGCCTGGGTTGCACGGAGATCCTGTGAATTCCTCTAAAGGATCCCAGATACACTGTGAGCTGCGAGAAAGGGCCCTTTTAGAGAGATCTTGTGCGTTCCTTGATAGGGCCCTTGTACACAGCTGAAACGATCCTTGTCCAGAGACGCAGTGAGTTCCCCAAAAAGGGTCCTAGTTTGCTTAAAGGATTGTACAGAGATCCTGTGAACTCCGATGCAGGATCGGTGTATGGAAAACCTGCAAGTCCCAAGCAGAATCCTTGTACAATCTTGTACAGGGATGAGTTCCTTTCAAAGATCCTTGCTCAAGGATCCAACGAATTTACTTTCCGAAAAATACACCCTCAACATTCCTCAACACTGTTTGGGGTCCCTTGTCGGAATATTTGATTGTCTTTTCCCATTGCTATGCCATGCTATGCCATTTGATATGCCATTTGATATGCTGCATTGCTCATACATGTTGTACAGTATCTTGTATCACACCGTATCCCATGATATCCTATCCTACCATATCATGTCAAATCATATCATATCATAGCCTATCAAATCATATTGTATAACATCACACCACATCATATCACATCATATCTCATCATATCATACCACATTACATCATATCATGCACTATATGCATCTATATTCCTGGCTGGTGGTTTCAATTCTTTTTATTTCCTTTTACATACATTAAAATACTTACATGATATATACATATGTATTTATTTTACATGATATATACACATATATTTATACACATACATATGTATATATGTACATGTGTACAAATGTACATATGAATATATGTACATATGTATATATGTATATATGTATATCTGTATATAAACATATATATACACACATATATCACATATACACACATATATACATATATATATGTATATATATATATGTGTATATATATATATATTACATATATATATATATACATACTTTACATTACATTGCATTGCATTACATTACATTACATTACATACATTCCATCCATCCATCCATCCATCCCTCCATCCATGCATGCATACATACATACATACATAAATACATACATACATACATGTATACATGTATACATGTATACATATACATACATAGATGTATATATAAATATGAATATACATACACACACACACATGTTTTTTAGGATATGAATTTTCATACATGGACACCTGAAATGGTAAATGAGGTAGCTGAATGCTGCACGGTCCATGATTGGGGTTTATCACAGTATGTAGGGGTTTGTGTGAAAATGGGGTACAGCACCTCCAATTCCAAAGAAATGTCATCATTTTCCATACTACAGATATATTATATATATATTATATATATATATTATATATATATTATATATATATTATATATATATATTGTGTTTAAGTCCACATTTTCAGACAAACCAGTTCTACCACCAAATATATATTTTCATTTTGTTCCTCATTTCATCCCCGCATAGAAAACGTTGCTTTACCATCGCTTCAACGCATACAACATATAACGTATTTTGAAGAGACTTTGTTGCACGTCGACAGGGAAAAACCCAGAACAGGTGCCACCCAGTTTATCCTCCCAGACTTGCTCTAAGTGAAACACTTCCAAGAAAACCCAAATCAATTCGGTGGGTCCAGACATGTCAAAAACCAATGGTTTCCATTCATTTTTTGGGTAAAAACCATGGTTTCCACTGTAGATTTTCGGCAATGGATACCATGGGATCTCAGGTCTTCTCCAAGTACAGCATCAGAGCTGCGCCTGGTTGAGGATACGCCCACTTGCAGTCAGCCTCCCAAGGTTTTTGGTATGATGCGGATTGTATATGAGTGTTTGCTGAGTTACTGTCTTTGCAAACTTACATTTTCTTATTTGGATGGTTTGCGTTGCTCAAGCTCTGACCGATCAGCAAAATGCCCGGTTTTCATGTGCAAAATTGCTCAAGGTAGGGAAGAGAGTTTGGATTTGTTGAGTGTAGGATTTAAGCAACGATAATGGTTTGATGTCCTACATGCCTTAGGACAGGAAGGCTCAGGATTTTTCCGTTTTCTCTCTTGAAGTGGGTGTCTAGTGTAGAGATCATACTGTATACATGTGCCGAACGTGGTGGCAGAATTGCAGCATAATATCCAAGGACTTCTCCACAGATAATTCAGTCAATCGTACAATTAAGCATTGATTAAACATGATTAAGCATTATCAGCTAATTTATTTCCCTAACTCTCATATAGCCCATAGCTAAAGACATAAATGGTATATGTATATATATACATATATACAGGTATACATACATACGGGTTCTACTTAAATTCCATAGGCCTGTCAGACTGAGGCAGCCTGTCCGACTCCCCACGTCGATGGCGGGAGATGTCGCCAATGAAGGTGGTTTGAACATGTTTCGTGGCGATGGTGGGGATGACCATCCATATACCCTGTGGTAATTTAACGTAGCTATTGAAAATGACCATTAATAGTGGATTTTCCCATTAAAAAATGGTGATTTTCCATGGCTATGTTAAATTACCAGAGGGTATCCCAACGATTTTGCTGTGAACCGAAGGGGTACAGGGTCTTGACCTGGCTTGCCATGTGCTTCCTGCAACAGGTGCCCATTCCGGAGGCCTACCGCAAGGAGCCACGGCTGGATAGCTGAAGCACAGTCAGCTGTCGCTGAGTAATGCGAAGCGGGATTGCCTTTGAATTAAGACTATGGACCAGGAACTTGTGTTTCGATGTTTTCGAGCCTGGCTGACATCAAGTGGTCTGATTGTAGGTACACAATGATATACATATATTATACACGTATTCAACTTTAAAATTATCTATGTGATCTATTATAAATCCATAACAGTGATGCTACTTATTGGTAAATGATTCCGAAGGTCTTAATATATTTTTCCTAATATAGGAACTCTTGAAGCCTCGGCAAGAGTTTGTCCAAGGAATTCCTTAGAATTTCGGGATGCAAATGGCAAACAATATTTTTATATGGAATTTGATGATCAACCATCCAAAAAATGGGGGGAAGGGGTACGCATCAAATTCCGTATGAAAATGATGGTTGATCATCAAATTCTTTTCAAAGTGCACTAGTGCACTATCAAATTCAGACTCTACAAAACCACATCCACTTGCTGCGTAGGAGCTCTTGTCATCAAATTGGCCATTGCGTGTGGAGCGCAGCCAAGATGCTACTCGTGAGTCGGGCCCCCTAATTTTTTTTTGGTTCGGTGGTGGCATCTACCCTCTATCGATACATATGGAAGCCATGGCCCATGAAAATTGATGATGATGATGATGATGATGATTTACCGAACTTAAAAACGGGGGATTTTCCAGATTCATGGATCCAAACATCCTCCACATAGGAGCAACCTGCCGGGAAGTCGCTGCGTTTTGAGGCCCTTGCCAACCCTGGCGGCATGGGCACAGGCAGAGGCCGAGTCCGCAGCGAGGGGGTTTCTTAAAATATGGATCCCCAAGTCAGCATAGGTTTCAATGCTAAAATGGTTCAATGACTTGGATGATTTGGGGTACCACCATTTTAGGACACCCCCATATAATGTATATATATATATTATAACACACACATATATATCTTTAAACACACATATATATATATCTTTAAACACACATATATATATATGTGTATATATATATATGTATAACATATACTCCCTTTGAGTATATCTATGTATATAACATATATATAACATATATATATAATAATATATATATAACATATATATATATAACACATATATATATAACATATATATACATAATATATATATATATACCTATATATATATGTATAAATCTAATATATATATATATACAACATATATATATATAACATACATACATATGACATATATATATAACACATATATAACATATATAACATATATATATATAACATAATATATATATGGCATATATACAACATATTTATATGTTATATATATAACATATATATGTATACAACATATATATATATATATACACATGTGGCACATATATATATATAACACATATAAATATATACATACATACATACATTACATTACATTACCTTACATTACATTACATTACATTACATTACATACATTACAATACATTACATTACATTACATTACATTACATACATAAATACATACATACATAACACACACACAGACATATATATATAACACATATATATATATACATAAGTAACACAGACACACACACACATATATATGTATATATATATATATACACATATAAGCCATATATATAACACACATATATAACACATATATATATAACACACACACATATATACATATATATATACATATAACACACATATATATATATACATATAACATATATACATATAACATATATATATAACATATATATATATACAACATATATATATATACATATATATAACATATATATATATAACATATATATAATATATATAGCATATATATAACATATATAACATATATATAATATATATAGCATATATATGACATATATATACATATATATAACATATATATAATATATATAGCATATATATAACATATATATATATATATACATATAACATATATATATAGCATATATATAACATATACATATGTAACGTGTATATATAACACACACACATATATACATAATATATATATATGTATATGACACACATATATATAACATATATACATATACCATATATATATATATACATAAAACATATATATATATACATAACATATACATATATAACATATATATATATATATATGCATATATACATAACATATATATACATAACATATACATATATAACATATATATTTGTATATATTATATATATAACATATACAGATATATACAACATATACAGTATATATATATATATACATAACACACACACATATATAACACATATATATATAACACACACACATAAATAAATTAATATATATATATAACATATATATAACACACACACATATATATAATATATATATATAACACACATATATATATATAACATATATATATACACATATCATATATCTATCACATATATAGCACCGAATTCCTTGTCATTTTTGTAGCTTCTCCGTACCACCAAGGCTCGGGCGGGACGCTTTACATGCCTCAGCACGACACCAGAGCTCACCAGGTCGGAGTACGAACTCTTGTGTTTCCCCCTATTTTTTGGGGATGATGAACGCATATCATTTTGATCTTACTGTATGTTTATATGTGTGTAATATGACAATATATATATGTATATACATAATACATAGAGAATGTTTTTGAATCAGGTACACTACTTGAGAATTAGATAGCTCCCAACTGCAGTGCAAACCTTTGAAACAACCATGCTGCGCGTTCGGACTCCCAGATTATCTCAACTATCGCAGACAAACGAGTGACACCTCACTGTCCTTAAACTGGCTGTTCCGTGTTGTTCCTTTCTCAGACATGTATGATGGAAACATTTCCAGAACCCCCTTGTCAGTTTAAGGGTGAAGAC